CATATTGTATTTTTCTGTTGGTTCATCCTGTGAAGCTTAAATGGTTGGGTGCACAGAATGTACACAAGTATTCCAACTGCTCAGGAAATTATATGCCACTGTTGGAGAAGAGACAGTGACCAGTTTGACTAGGGTGAAAAAAGTCATCCCAGGAAGCTGAGTGGACCCATCTCAGATGGTCTAAAGCATGGGTCCTCACCTCAAACCATGGCTCGCGGGATGGATCTGGCCCACCATGGCCATCCATCTGGCCCACGCTGCCGTTCACCGCCCATGCATGCGTATGCTGCACAGGTGGGGAGGTGGTGGAGATGATCTCCAAGCAAACAAGCCACCGCCTGCCTCCCGGACGCGTGCGTTCACTGCTGCCTCCCAGCGCAGGGAGGGGGGGAGGTGCCAGCTTGCTCACAAGGAGATCATTTTGGACTCGCTCGGAGAAAAGGATCTTCTTGCTCGCATGCCGCAACATGGCGAGGTGCTGGCTTGCTTGCAAGGAGATCGTTTTGGACTTGCTCGGAGAAAACAGAATCTGTGCACGCCTGCCCCTGCCTCACCGTGCCCCGGCCCATGCCCTCCCGCCCACACCGCCTTGATGGCCTGCACCCATCACCTGCACCTTTCAACTGGCCCTCTGTTCAAAAGGTTTGAGGAGCCCTGGCCTAAAGGAAAGGCAAGTGGAAAGGAGAGAGGCCTGAAGAAAAGCATGTGTTCAGTTAACTAGAGAACTGACAGTCATGTGAAGTTCCCAAGCTGAGAGGATCCCTGTGCTTGCACAGAAGGGAGGACTCTACCAGCTGTGGACTCACCCACCACCACTGCATTGTTATTGTACAGGCCAAGAGAGAAGCTGCTGGGAACCACTAAATTTCACATTTTTTGTTAAATTGACTAGTCAGTTGACTGTCTTAGTAGCCCTTGATATCCAGCCAGATTTAATGTCAGATGTAAATACTGTCACTACATTCCTGTAGACAAAGCTGTATTACCAGCTCTATTAGGTGGACTTCCCATTGAAGGGAAGTCTTACTGACAGCTGATTGCTCTAGGCCTTGTGCAAGCTTGGGCAGAGTGGAGAAAAAGAAGCTGAATGGGCAACAAGGGGAGGCGTCCTGGAGCACGCTCTCAAGTGCAGAGGTCTGTCTGCAGTTCTTTGCTGTCAATGGTACGCATCTCCCATTGACAACGGGTCAATGTCTTTGCAGCAAACCCACTGCTGAGATGAGGTAAGTTGTGTGGCTCTTTGGGGAGTGGGTGGGAATGGAAGCCAAAGACACCTCTTTTTTCCCAATGCTTGTCTCAGGAGAGCCCACTGACATTTCTACTGGATGCCATGAAGTGGCTTTAAAAGAATCCCAGTGAAAGGGCACTTGTAATGTCTATCTTGTCCCACACCATGTGCCTGATCGAGGATGGCCTCCAAAGAAACACTAGAGGGCAGTCAGATGATGTCTCAAGGAACATGAAGGGATGGAATGAGAGGCTTGGCAGAATCGTTTGGCACTCTGTAACCAGTATCAGGATCATTTTAGCTGCCTGGAGTTTCGTTCATTCTGGTGCAAAGTGCCACAGGAAACATTTTGTCAAAAGACTGAACGTCGAAGTGGTCTCTCACAGCACATGTACAAAGCAGGGTTGTTTATACAGGAGATAATGCCAGCCGAACAGAATATAAAAATCCCTCCTGCTTCTTTGCAAAACAGTGTTACAAAAAACCTTAAGGAAGTCAGCAGCATCTCTGGCAATTAGACATGAAAGAAAATACATTTCATAGCACATTTGTTCATTGTACTTAAGTTGCTACCAGATGCTACCAGATGCTTTAGAACTTCAAACAAGGAGGAACCTTCTGCCCTGAGAAATTCTATTAATCTTCCTGGTACAGCTTCTTGTTTTAATTTCTCTGTAAGCTCCACAAGCATGAGCAGTAACCAGTTGCATGCATATATTTTTGACACAATAAACTACATACAGACACAACACACACATCTTTTCTTGTGAATCAGGATGTACCATCTCAAAACTGCCTCCATCATCATCATCATCATCATCATCATCATCATCATCATCATCATCTATACTGCCCTTAGCTGAAGCTCTCTGAGTGGTTCACAAGAATCATACACCTAGAAAAGCCGTTGGGTCCAACCCCTGCTCAATGCAAGGCTCAAGTCTCCCATCCAAAATCTTACCAGGCCTGACCCTCATCAGCTTCCAAGATTAGGCAGGATCATGCACTCCAGGCTATACAGAAGCTTGTGTTGTGCGCTATAATGGTTACTCATCCTAAATTACATACACATACACATATACATGGGGAGCTGCCTTGTATTAAGTCAAAACCCTGGCCCATTTAGCACAGCAATGCCAACACTGAATGGCAGGGGCTTCCCAGGGTCTCAAACTCATACATGGCATCATTTCCTCCTTTCTAACCATCCCCAGAGATTTCTGGAGTAGAGGCACACGCCCCTTTGTGAGCAAAGCATGTGCTCTACCACTGAGCCAAAGCCCCTCCCGAGGTCCCTCCCATGCTGCGGTAATCCAGCATAGTATGTCTTGGTTTGGAAATCACAATAAGAAACAACCATCAGCTCTATGGTTTACATGCTTCACCGTGTTTTCTCTGGTTGTCTGAACCTAGTATTGTGGTTTCCATGGTCTCTGCATGCAGCTCCCACAGGACCTGCTCCAACCACCCAGTGTGGGATTACATTTCAGGTGCAGTGGCTGATGGGATATGCATGACTTTTGGGATGAATGAGCAAGGAGGGTGGGAATCACACTAGTGTAGAAACCACTCGATCATCTGCACATCCAGGCAGAAAAAGAGTGTCCTGGGAAACCACACAGGGTTGCTTGTCATGACATCTGAGCCCAGCCACTGCTTTACAGGGCTACACAGATGCATAACCACAATGTAGGTGTCTCTGTCATTCTGTGCAGTAACCTGCCTTTTCTAAAGTATTCCAAAAATGTCCTGGAAGCCCAGCAGGAGGAGAGGATTACTGATTAGTGTCATGAACTCATTCCAATAAGTAACCATTGCACTAGTGTGTACACAAATTTATTTATGTTTTCTATTTTATTCTGCTTTTTAACTGCATGGGACCTAAGGCTGCTTATATAACCATAAGCAGTGGGTATGCTTATACTCTTTCTCCTCTCTATTTTATTTTCACAGCAAACATATGAGGGGGTTTAGCTGGAGAGGCAGTGACTAGCTGAGAGTCATCCAGGGAGCTTCATGGACAAGTGATGAAAAGAATGTAGATTTTCTGACTCCTAGGGTAGTGAAGGCATCTAACCACTATACCACACTGGCCCACAAATCTATTGGAGAACACTTGCCCTGATCCTGGACACTTGTCTCAGTATTCCTACAATAGTGCTAGAAGCCCCATGAAAATCATTGAAACAAGTTGTCCAAAGGCACAGAAAGGAATATGTTTGGCACAAACAATGGAGCCATTTTAACTGTGCAGTCCTATGATGTGTACGTTCTGAATTATGGCCTAATAAGCACGCATAGGTACTTTGGGTATCAGCTGTTCAAACATGTGCAATTATTCAAAAAGGAGCCTGTTTATAGAAACAAGAACCATGGATTAATTACTCAGGAACTGTTGAGCAGGCACAAGCTTTGCTGCCTTCACTATCACCTTCTCTTCCTTGTCCCACTAAGGAGCTCCAATTCCCTGCAGAGTGTCGTGTTCTCCATGAGGAGTGCATGAGGATGACCTATCATGGCATGTCTGAGGGATTGTGACATTCTTTGTGTCATTTGTCAAGAGGAAATGGACCCTGGTAGTATCATATTCCCATCAGCATGCTAGGACATGCATAGCCCATGTATTCTTGACATTCCACCAGATTTCTGGAGTTCCCAACCACCACCAGCACCACCACCTTATCCCTTTCTTCTGCCCCATGTTAGTTGGGGCAGGGGGGGTGCATTGAAGGGAAAGGAACAGAAAGCTTGTGCTCAAGCCTCTAATTCTTTGTGCAGGAGCCTGAATCATGTAGGAAGGATCATGTTCATCTGATGTTTACTCAGAAGTCACAATCGTGATCTACAGGAAGATTTTCTCAAGAAGTTTTGGTTAATTCCCAAACCTGCAATTGCATTCAAAAAGTGTACATGTTGGAACATGCATGCTTTAAAATGTTCTCTTTTTTAGAATATACATTTATTTTTTCAATCAATGGGGGAAAGTACAAATGTAAGCACATGTTTTTCCCCTTTGAAATGTACAGTTTCCACATTCAAAAGGCACATTTGGTCATGAATAAGATGAACCAAACCACAAAGTGAGGTCTACAAAATCTCAGTGAATTCGAACCTCCCTGGTTCCTCATCCCTATCCCAAAGGATCCAAAGAGTCTTACTTCCAGGTTAGTGCACACAGGGCTATGGCTTAGGTCTTTGACAAAGCTGCCACTATATAACTGCAGAGAATTTAACAACTCAATATCTAGGCCTTTTTCCTTAAGATAATCCCAACACAGTTCTCCCACATATTCATTACCATATCTTAAAAAATACCAAACAGTGCCTACTAATGCCAGAGAGGAGTCAAACCTAACGATCACATCTAAGGAAACAGTCATAAACTGAGACAGTAAAAACAAAACAGAACCTCAAGATCTGAGACAAGCACACTCATACTTTCAGGCTTGACAAAGCAAAGCATTATTCTATGGAATGAGGTGCTGATGGCTCAGAGACAATCTGCACCTCCTCACAGAAACACAGCCAAAAATCAGAGGAACAGAGTTTGAGAGACAACCAGGAAATGGGCAGTCTGGCAACCGTTATCTTGAAGAAGTGGAAGATTTTCGTTTTCTTTTAAGGTAGACAGCCCCATGAACTGTCAACATGAGCAAGGGGTGAAAGGATAATTTAAAACATCCTGGGAGGAAATTGCACGTTATTAATCAGGCAAATGATGAAGAGAAAACATATAGAGCACACCAAATTGTGGAAGGGAATGGACACCTACCGTACCAGGCCTGGGGTATGGAATCCGTCCATCGTATTGAACCCACCGGTGATCCACACTCTCCTTGTGGGCATAATGTCCATTGAAAACTGCTCGAATGTCAGCCATGCTGTACACACAAATAGCAGAGCCTTTGAATACAGAGCTGGGAAAAACAGAAACAGGTCATGCTCAAAAAGGGTTTCAAAGACAGGTGATACATGAAAAACAAGGTTATGAACACTTTCCTAACTTTCTTTATCAAAAACATGTTTCAAGTAGATTGCTTACAGGATGCAATCTGGTAAAGTTCCAGTATGAATGGGGCTGATCCTCACCTCCTGGTTGAATGTGTGAAGTGGAACTTAGAGATCCATTCCAATATATCCCTTGGTTCAAAGGTGCCTATTAAAAGGTTTTTAAAATGCATATTTTAGAAGGGAATATTTTTAAGCTACGTATTTCAAGGTAACATTTTCTACCATGTGGAGTGTGTGCGCGCGTGTGCAGTGTATACATGCACAGGTGTGTGCATGCATGCATTAATCACAAATAGGTGTAGTAATGGGATGGGATGGATTTATGAATGAACACGTGTGCAAAAGTGAGGCAGGCTGCAAACAGATTGCATTGCCCTCCCAGATAACAGGCAGCATCAGGGGCTGTGATAAGAAGTTGTAGGAAATCTTTAACCTTTACCCTTCCTCTTGCATGAAAATTCATGATGATCAGCCGTAGGGACCCTATTTATTCTCTGCAGGGTCCCTATTTTCCCCTATGGGAAGAAAAGCAGTTTATGCTCTGGGACAATTTCGAACATACTGGGAAGAGAACGGCACGAAGCCGTTGATCCGCACTGTATTACTACTCTATCTACTCTTTTGTGCTGACTGAACTGAAGGCCTGAAATATTAGTTTGCATAACCCCTAAAGGCCATGCTGAGCAGACTTTTGTTTAAAGCTGGCAGACCAGAAGGGATCCAAAGCGAGGGCTTGTTTAAAACACTGAACGGAGCACTGGACTTGGATGTTGGCCACAAGCTACATTTGTATCTTGCCTTTCCCCCATGGAGCTTAGAACTGCATTTTCGCTTCGAAACATGCCTGTGAGCTACTTTCAGTGAAGGGAACGTGACTTGTCCATGGCCACACAGCGAGCTTCCTAGCTGGGTCTGGCTACGAACCTTGATCTCCCAGACCTAAACCCGAGACAGGCTGCTGCATGCACTGGATCTCACTAGGTGGCATTGAGAAAGTCCCTGCTTCGCTGCCTATTCCTTCCTCCTGGAGCTGTTATAAGGCAGTACAATAATATTTGCTGTAATCCAACCTGAAGCCCAGTATTGCAATGTACAGCCAGGGTGATTCAGGAAGCTCCGGTTTTGGTTCGTGTACAGATCTGAACACAAGCTAAAATATACCTGGTAGTAGTGAAGACACCATACACCATAGGATTTCTCTCATCTCTTGTTGGTAGTAAGAATATATCATCTGCAAGGGAAAATGGATTGTTTTTAAAGTTAAGACTATGCAGCTTTTCTTATTTATCATATGCTTTCCCCCTTAAATTTGCAAGCATGTTGCTAATGCATGAAAAGAAATCCTTAGCTCTCAGATTTGAGTTGCAATGTGTGGCTTCTTCATATAATTTACTATTTCTCCATTCCTAGCAGTTAGTTCTCTTCCCTGACTTTCCCCCATCTGCCCACTACCCCTATAGCAGTAGATCTACATATGGTAGGCCCACATATCTGTCCCCCTGCCCCTTTCCTACATGTGTAACATAGCATAGTCTTCCCCAAGGTGGGGCCTTCCAGATGTTTTGGACTTCAATTCCCATCACCTCAGCCAATATGGCAAGGGCTTAGGAATCCTGAGAGTTATAGTCCAAAATACTTGGAGGGCACCAGACTGGGAAAAACTGATATGCATGTGGCAAGAGAGACACAGATGTGCTCAAACCCTACAACTTTTCCTTTTCCAAAAAGTTACAGAAAAATTGTGGAAATCATTCAAGGTTGCAAGATAAACTGTTAGCGTAAGCACTGTGTACAGGTTTGGTGATATGTGTGCAATTCTTCACCAGGCATACAGGCACTGAATGTATCTGAAAACCCTCAGAAAAAGAATAAATGAAAATAAAACAAATTCCTTCTATAGCTGATTACATAAAAATAGTTAATATCCAAAGTCCTAAAAATGGTATCTCTTTAGTTATGGTGCAGGCACAGGGCTTAAAATGGTTAACACATTTGAAGTGTCCTTATGTTGTGCAACAGAATATCACAGTTTTGAGTTGTTTTAAACTCCGGATCATTCTTTCCATTTTGGGTCTGAAAGGGATATGAGTTGGCTGGGTGAACACTATGATTTGGCATTACAGTATCGATTTGTCCACATTTGTGTGATGCATAGGGTTGGGTCAAACCTGAATTGACAAACCTGTTGCTCATCTGCAACATTTCAGACATGGAGACATTTCCCTGTCTGGATGTTCCTTCCTACCAAAAACAAATTCTTGCATGCAGAGACTTTTCCTTGATATTCTGGTTTTCAGTGTACACAGATTTTTTTTATGGTAACATGCTTTACTTGTGAGAGGGCCCTCTTGCACTTACCCTGCCCACATGCCAGCTTACCAGCTCAGTTTCTTGTTCTTCTTTTACAAACAAACAGAGATACCAAGACCTCTTTTTCCTGTACAGGCATGTTGCTACCAGCCCTGTAATTGCTCACAGACTGCTTAAGTATGACTAAAGAGGGTTCTTCTAATAGAAATTCTGTATAACACTCCATGCATCTCCCAAAGGGCTGGGCTTACTTTCATATTATGCAAACATGCCATCAAGCAGAACCACATGGGTGGAAAACATGTCATGCAATCAGTGTGGTGTGGAAACAGTTACAGCCATGGCACAAGTCAGTGTGGGGACGTATAAACAGGGTGTAACTAGCTGATGAATACATGAGAATTTTGTTTTGGTTCAGAAATCATACCTGTTTGTCCCATTCATAACTTCAAATGTGAACAAGAATGGAGATGCATTAAATAACATTTGCAAATGCTTATGATGTTTGAAAAATGCTTATCCTTTGAACAAATGTACACTTTGAAATGCATCTTTTCCAAAACACAAACAAACAAAACTAAGCACCATATTTTCACACATTAGTCAACAGAGGAAGAAGTGTGCACTTTTGAAAAATGTACATAGAAATGCACATTCCTCTTATTTGAATAAACCAAATGAAACAGAACGTGAGACAAATTGAGCTTCAAAGTGATGTCTGGATAATTTTGATGAGCTGAAACTTCCCTGGCTCTCCTGTCCCTAAACAAGCTATATATTGGATGTGGATCAAAATGGAAAGCATAAAGCACCAGAAACAATGGTGTCATTTAAAACAGAGCAGTGATGACAGAATGGTGCCAGTGCAGAACCAAATATGAGTAAAGAAAGGCTAGCATTCCGATTTAGGACTCTTTAGGGATACTTCATGAAAATATGCCATGCTTATGAATGACTTTCTTCAAGGTTACTCAGTGTACACTGGACATTAGAAGATTATTAGTTAAACTCTACTTAGCCAGACTAATCCATATGAATTTTGGTTTTGTAGTGTGTGTGGGAAAAAAAATCCTACAAGTATCTTTGTTTTACTCTTCATGAGACCACCTGGTGCCAGTTACCTTTGGACTGAGGCAATAAAATCCATACATTTTTACATTTCAGTGATTGAAGAACTAAAAGGCAACTTACGTAGCTCATCAAAATGTGTATCTGCTCCTTCTGGGCCAGGAATTGAGCAAACCAGCCTTGCTTTCAGGAACGTCGTCCACTTGTTTATCAGACTACGTTGACCTCCCATGTCATTCTAATTAAAAAGCAGTTTATTTAATTTCAGTTTGCTAGAAGGAGGACTTTTATCTAGGCAAACGGAAATAGCTGAATAAAGGCTCGGCCCTAAACATGAACAGATGCTCTGTTGCTGCCCTGGTGCCTTCACAGACCATTATTGCCAGTTCCACCACCTCTGCCAACTCCCACCCACCTGCATCAGCTGCCACTGCCTTGCTATTACTTACCCCCATGCCCTACAGCCCTACCAGTGCTGCTCGCTGCTCAATTTAAACCGTATTTTCCCATTAACCAAATATAAGCAGCAGTGCCATGCCAGCTCCTCCTTGCTCCATGACTCTCACTCTGAGGAAAAACTGAAGCCAAGGTGGCCCTGGCCAGTGCTTGTACTAATGCCTCCGCTTTGCCATACCATCCCAATTATTGTTTAATCCTGAACTTTAATTTCAGGCTGAGCTTAAAGCATCTGCTGGTCCAACAGCAGGGGAAAAGGGCAATCTCCAGGGCTGTGTTAGACTGAGGAAAGTCTCCTTTCAGAGTATGGGAGTGTCTGCCAAGATGGTCACAGAAAATGGGAGTTTCCCCACACTGCTGTTGCTAACACCACAGATGTAGATATAGCTAAGCAAGCTGTTGGGGAGGAGTCAGAAGAGAAGGAAGGCAAAGGCAAGCTGAGGAGAAAAAACAGTTGAAAAGTCACGTATTAGAGCAAGGGAGAAGGGAGAAGCTGGAAGCGTTGTGTCCACTTCATCTAAGACAGCACAATGAACCAGCCTTGGCTAAGTATGTCCTGTTTTATACCAACAGCCCTGCTGTGAAAGACCAACAGTAAGCCATGAAAATGAAGAAATGCCACAATTTTCTGAGTAGTGTTGCTGCAATTAATCAGAACTGAGCCTACTTCTTTGGCAAAACCTCCAAGATATTACAGGCCATTGACATTCAGCATTCTGGAAAGAAATGTGTTCAGCTGTACTTTATTTAGTTTTTTCTACACATGGCAAAATAAATCAGGCTTCTGAAATCAGGATGGTAGAATGATGAGCATCCAGGACCAAACACAAAAAGGAGATAAACAATGAGCAAATTTTTACAAGTCTTCCTTGAATTTCTGTACATTTCTTCCATAGATCAATTGCAGTTGGTTCAGCCTACTGAGAAAATTTAGGAAATTTGTGCAAATTGAACAGGACATTGGCACAGTGAATCTTCCCATTTCCATAGAAGAAAGTCCCAAGTATAAGAACCAGGAACTTAGAAAACAGAATTAGCAAGCTCAGAACACAGACAGGTTACCTAGTCTGGAATGTGGACTATTTGCCCCCTTTCCTGGCCAAAGGGCTGCTGTCGAGAATCTACAGAGCAGGACAAATGATGGACACGTAACAGCTTTGGACTCCCTCTTCCTCTTTTAGCTCCTCTCTATTCATAAGGCTATTAGGCTGAAGACTCGTGTTACTGTTGTGGAGATATGACTGAGTGCAGCAGGAGAAGAATAATGTAAGCCGTTTTGAGTTTGTTGTACGAAAAAAGTGGGATATAAATCTAATAAATAAATAATCTCTTTAGAACTCTAGAATAAGATGAGGACGCATAACCAATATTTGTTGCCTATTGGCTTGTACCTGCTCTATATTTCCTTCTAAATAAACTTTCCTTTTGCTTTCCAATTGAGTTCTATGTCTCTGTGAAGGAAAGCCTGTTCAGCAATGTCCATGAGAATTAAACCCCTGGAAGAGATCCTAAATCTATAAAGGTGTCTGGAGGGCAAGTGCCTCCTTTTGAAGTGAATTCTTCCCTAAGATCACTATTCTGCGACTCAGCAGTAACTATGGCAGAATGGGGAAGCAAGTCACTTAGAATCAGAACTTAGACCATGCTGTATTTGTTATTCTTTAAAACAATGTAAGACGTGACAGAGAGATAAGCATGGCTGTGGTGGTCGTGGTGGTGGGCTGTCAGGTCATCTCCAACTTGTGATGACCCTATCAAAGAACGCCCTCTAAGATGTCCTTTCCAATCACCAAGTCTTGCCAATATGCCTTTTCCTGTCTTTATTTGCTCCTTTAAAATATTTTAAATTTTTTTAAAGGAAGCTTTATTTCCATTTTTTCCTTCATACACTCACAGCATTTCTCCTCTCCTTGCTCTGTCTCTGTTGCAGCTAGCTTCACATCTCCTCAAGAGATTTGTCACAGGCTTGTCAAATGCACTAAATTTAAGCCAAGCAAGTCCTACATACAGTCTGGGTCTTTTTTTTTAATTCTCCAAAGCATTCACCTTGGATGGTGGCATGATAAAAATGCTATTCAAGTCAATGAAAAGGAACAGACTTCAGAAGTAGCGGATACCACTATGCATTCTGCAGTTTCAGTCAGCTAAAAATAGTGAATACCTTTTCTGAGATTATGAAGGGCAAACTCTTCTTTTCCTGAGAATTCCTCTGATGTTTCTACCAATCTGGCCACTACTGCCATCAGGCATAACTCTTGGGTAGAAGCCAAGATCCTAACAGCAGCTTCCCTAAAGCACTTCCCTAAAGCTTCCCTGACCCAGTTATAAAGGGAAGAGGCTGTAAGACCATTAAGTTGGGAGTGCAGAATGAGCTAACTGTACCACTTGATGCGGAGACTATAAATTCACTTTCAAAAATCACTTTAGGGAAAATTCAGTTATAACTGTGCTCACTGCAGAAGAATTTCTTCAGCAGTCCTTGGTTCAGATGACATATCAAACTCGGTGTGACTATCTTCTATGCTTTTTGTTAGTTCCAGACAGAATTAGGCATTTCAGTTGCCAAAAGTTCCGGTGTTATAGAAACACTTTAATTTTCTTCTTTAAAAATTCCTTGGCTGTAAATAAATTGGTCTCCAAATTTTACTTCAGGGCTAATTTTATGGCTGCTGTACTTGAAACACAATTATTCTATCAACAGATGCAGCAAATATGCCCATAATGATGAATATTTCTCATGTATTCCCTATACAGGAAGTTGAATTAGTATATCAGAAAATAACATTAAGGATATTTTACAGCTGTGGACAGCCTTAAGGTAAACCCATAATTTTCAACCCGTTTTATGTCAGCTGAAAATCTTGCCAAGTAAACTTGCTGGAGACATCAAATGAAGAATGCAGAATGTCTCAAGGATATATGGGTATGCTCAACAATAAATTATGTGATGAGCATTTGCTATGCACATTTCGAAATCCTATTAACGTAATATGCTATCCCTGTTGACTCTGAAGTAAGTTTCAGTCAGTTCAACAGAGCTATCTCCAGGGTACGTAGATATGAGACTGAGGCCGTAACATTCAGAAATAAAAGTGTGCCCATACACTCAAGGGGAATGCAAAATGTGGATGCAATCCTTTGAGCTTTTTCTGTTCAAGGAGAGGTTTTTAATTTTTAAAAGCTTGACATTGCCATAGGGATTGAAAACCTCTAATTAATACAAAACACTCTGTGATTTGCCCATTATTGCTTTGTTCCCATCCCATTTGACATGCCAGTTTTAAGCTTTCGGTTGAAATCCTGTACACGTGTATTTAGGAGTGAGACACACCAATCTCAATGACGTTTATTTCTGAGTAGACATGAAAAAACCAGTAACTCTTGTGCATGTTGAGAGAGAAAAAACATGCTGGCTGAGGAATATTGAAAGTGGCAGGATTTTTTTCTGGCTAAACATGTAGGGCATTGTACCCCTAATATCAGAAATAGAAACAAGTTAATGATATATGATGGACTGAGCTGTTTCTCACAGGTCCAGTTTGCTTAGTTCCTGTTTCTCTTTTTATTGAAGTTCTTCTAGCTGTTAAATTTAAACTGTTTTAAATTTTTGTGTTTAAAGAAAACTAAGATCATGGCATCCAGTCCTCTCACTTCCTGGTGAATAGATGGGGAAGAAATGGAGGTAGTGACAGATTTTATTTTCCTGGGAGCCAAGATCACCGCAGACAGGGACTGCAGCCAAGAAACTGAAAGACGCTCGCTCCTGGGGAGGAAAGCTATGGCAACTCTAGACAGCATACTAAAAAGCAGAGACATCACCCCGCCAACAAAAGCGTGTATAGTCAAGGCTATGGTTTTCAGTTGCAATGTATGGCTTTGAAAATTGGACCATAAGGAAGGCTGAGTGCCGAGAAACTGAGGCCTTTGAATTGTGGTGCTGGTGGAGACTCCTGCGAGTCCCTTGGACTGCAAGATGATCAACCTGGTCAGTCCTAGAGGAGATCAACCCTGACTGCTCTTTAGAAGGCCAGATACTGAAGATGAAACTCAAATACTCTGGCCACCTAATGAGAAGGAAGGACTCCCTGGAGAAGAGCCTAATGCTGGGAACAATAGGCGGCAAAAGATGATGGGGATGGCAGAAAATGAGGTGGCTGGATGGAATCACTGAAGCAGTTGGTGTGAGCTTGAGTGGACTCTGGGGGATGGTGGAAGGCAGGAAGGCCTGGAGGAATGTTGTCCATGGGGTTGCGATGGGTCGGACATGACTTCGCGACTAACAACAACAACACAAATTTTTGTGTGGAAATTTAATGCTGTATTTTATGCTATCTGTTTTTATACTGCATTTTGATTGTTCCTGTATTCTATGCTCTATTTAATTGTGTTTGTGTTTTGTATTGGGTGGGGCAAACAGATGGATAGACAGACGGACGGACGGACAGAATGAAGATCATCTAGATCTCAGACCTTCTTTCTGGTTGTACTTGTCTTTTGAATGACTTTCCCAGAAAATGGAACCTGACTGATGTCTATGCAACTTTTCTCCATCTAAATCAGTCCTCCCCACCTTGATGTCCTCCAGATGGAGATGGCTAGGCTGGAGATTTTATTTATATTTATTTATTTAAAATATTTTTATGCTGCCCCCATCGCAACAAAGCCTCGGGGAGGCTTACAACAAAAACTAAGTTATACAAAATTATACAAAAACAAAATTATACAATAAAAATATTAAAACCTAGTGCATCTCGGCTTAAAAACTTTTAAAATCCTACACAA